ACAAACGGAGTGAAACTGTTCTGCACCCAGATGCAATCGTCATGATTTTCAGAACATTCCGCACTTCTAAGGTATGCAAACGCTTACACCCTCAAATGAATTTGGCTTTATTTTTTGTTAACTTCATGTAATTACGAACCGCACCGGAACGGAAATGAAAAGACTAGACTAGACTAAATACAAATCTCGTTTCTGTACGATCTGATGAACTCTTCACAACCATGTGGAACATTTCGGACCCCAGAANAAACGGCAATCAGACCAAACATATTGTTTGTTTTATTCGCTACGCGAAGCGAATTGCATGTAACCTGTTCGTAGGAACATAAACGGACGAGATTGGGACACTAGCGATACAAATTAGCTGCATGAATATTCTGGTGCTCCGGAATAGTTGAATTTGGTATTACTCATGATTTTCGCCACCACTTTTGCCCCACCCCACCCAGATGTCACGTGTTGACAGCTATCCACCCCACCCCACCCCACTGAAGAACTGAAGTAGAGCAGATAGTAGCTGGTGTGGATGTGACCAGGGGCTTATACAAACCTGTATGCCAGTGAAAGTGACGGAATCAGCATGAAAGAATGCGGTATTAGGGCAGTGACGAATCGCATTTAAACTCATTGCACACAAGATTCCGAATTTGCACTTATTATTCATTTATAGGCGTTTAATTGTAAGAGGCCATTCACTCTTTAAATTCTATGAAACACTTTTAAAGCACTTCTAAATCAAATTCCCATCACAAATTAAGCATTCTCCGAGACTAAAATCCCAATAGCAGACGGACAGAATTAGTCAAACGAAGTTAAATCAATAATACAACTACATGCTGAAATTTGAACCTGAACTTGTCACGTGATTCGAATAATTTCGGCACAGTTCACACTGTGTGTGCGAGCGTCAGATTATTATTTGACGTTTACGGTCGATTAGAAACTAACTTTTATCAGATCGACAAATGTTCACAACGGGATGACGAAAGTGGACCGAAAGCCTAATTTGTTGAACTATTCACAATCATATAATGCAACAGATGGGACACTGAGTACAGCATGGTAGTTTAGTGCATCAGAAATATCGACCGTCTGTTTCTGTTCGCCTGATCACTAACTGTCGCATCGTTCAGTCCATTTTCACAATATTAGTTGTTCCATCACGTGAATCGTGACCCAAAATTCGACGGGGGCGGGCGCGAGAGGAAAGATTACATTTTTAGCAGTTTGAAGTAACGGTAACCAATTAACAAAACACAGATTCCTTATTCACGCGTTGTTAGCGAACTGTACCACCATCGGTTGCACCACATGAATAGCTTGAGATTTGCAAATAAGGCTTGAGTTTCCATTGCAAAATTTAGGGTATAATTTAAACAATAGGAAAGAGAAGCCCCGGCATTACCAAAAATGGTAAATCAATCACATTGAATCAGTAGTGTGATGTAAACAACACCAAGCTGTCGTGTATTTTACTATAACGTTTATACGACTTTGTCCTGCTGTAGGATTATTCGCTTCTATGAATCGTATACTGATTCATGGAAATTTTCGCCAAGGAGATTGCAAGCAGTGCCCCCTCCCCCACCCCGGCACTATTTAACCAGTTCCGTTTAGGATTGCATCTCTATCCAAATGGAACATGCGAGGTCAACAAGATAAACCGATGACCAGTAATTTGGCTCATTCATCTCGCCCGGTTCTATACCACGGCTGATCTAGCGAGGCCTTATGTGGTCCGCCAATCCAAGTCCCGTGGCTTAAGTTGCCGGTTACTGAAAAGCAGATCTTCGTGACTACCGGGTCCAACCCGTCTGCTGTTCATTACACACTGGTGTGTAATAAAAGAGTTCAGGATCTCTTGGTCCCGTCACATGACACCGCGTAGACTTTATGCTCAACTCTATGTCCACAGCTAACGTGGATGACAAATCTACATTCCCTAAGTGAACTGCAATGATGTCATCCGTTATTAAGCACACGCGTACATAGTTACGGTCAACATAATGAATCCAGGGACGGTCATTAAATTATCACCAGCAAATCCTGGGATTTTAATCAAAGAACTACAAGATGGAAATGATCAGCTAATCATCTAGCATATACAAACAAAAAAACAACCAACAAGCGAATAACTGACAGTACACACACACACATAAAGAGTACAGGAGGCAGTGAACACATGCATCGATTAGATGCGGTCACATTTCGTGCCTGATTCATGCCGAAATAAATGTCAGATGTGCAGTCACACTAAAAACAATCAAATGGAGTCATGGAAAAATTGCAGTTCGCTTGTTTCAGCGATGAAAACAAAGTACACTTTGATGATGCAACTGAGCACTGGTCAATAGTGTATGTGACCATATTCATTATATCACGAATTGAACCGCGATAGGCGGTGGCAGTGGTACCCCGGGCTATCCAGCAAGAACAGAAGGTATGCACAAATTTGTAATTGAAAAACTACTTACTCGGGGAATAGAGTAGTGTGTGAATCACCGTAGCTGATAATTTGAAAGCGACATCCTTTGGGGAGACCTTTGAGAAACAGTAGCAATGAATCTGCCGCGAATTTGATATTTCCTCCATGCATGTAGCCTGTTAGACGACGATGAAGTGGACAACGAAAGCTTCGGTAAGCTTGTTGCTTACAGTAAAAAACAACATGAATAATGGCCTGTATTCCACGAATGCAACAGATGCCTCGACATATTCTCAAATAGTTTCTACAATCAGTAATAAAACACCACTACCAAGATTAACGTGAGAAACGAACTCAAGAGCCAAAAATTGCAAAATTGTCGGTCCAATTTTACGCTCATTCCATTGAAACCTAAATTCCAAACTTCTAGGATTAGGTGAAGCAATTCTGATTCAGTGAAATCATCCAGTTTTATGCGCACACGGAGTTCTAACGCGATCGATCATATTTTCCGGGGGACTGCTCTTAGAACCAGTTTTCCCACGAATGTACCCGTCAATTCACTGTTTTCTGTCAAAAATTTGCTGTGTAAACGCCTGACTGTTGCAGATTCTAGTGTTGTGAGATACTAATCACATTTGTGAGTAGTACACAAAATAGTCGGTGAATCCTTTCGACGATTAGAAATTAAGAAGATCACTGAGGGCAAATTGCCTTATCTCAAAGAATAATTACCGACTGATATATTCATCACTCGGCGTGCTGCCAGGATCTGCGATGGTATGTTTCAGATGAGATTTCTGTGTTATGTATGCCAAATTAGTGATATCCCAATGTACAATAAACAACTATCCTCGACTGCGCACCACAGTCAGATGAATTGTTGAAATCAGAATGCAGTTGCTTGCTCCCCATGTAAGTATATTCCACCTCAAAAGAATTCTATTTTTCCAGGGTTCCGAAACTTTCTGATCAAAACATTAGGGGAGAACTTAAATGAAATACTTAGCCCTTGGTCTAGCTGGATGTTCAACTTGCCACAGGTTATTGTAAATCTGTACGCCTGGATGTCACTGACTTCGAAATCGATCAGTAACATTTATACGATAACACCAAATGTAATTCAGATCCACGTGCAAGCCGTGTTTTAGAATACAATCGACTCAGTGACCACACATTGAAATTTGCGGGCAAAACACGTACCAGACCGGTCCACAATGAATGTGACTTCGCTTTTCGTATCTTGNAATGGAAGAAAAGTCCGGCATAAATTGAGCCATAATACAACCCATTCCAAGAATATTCGACTCTTCCGTATTGCCCATCTCCGCGACAGCAAATGAGCTCAGTAAACCTTCGGTTAAAATGACCATTTGCAAATCGTGGTCTGCTTGAAATTGGGATGACAGTGAAACCTGTAATATAATTAATATTATTTCAATCAGATTGCTCAATTCTTGGAGTAGGAACAACTAGTGCCCTGAACTACTGACCTTTCTTTTTACCTGTACAAGTGCATTTTTAAACCTAGAGTTGAATTACTAGCGAAGGACTAAATGCTCACCGCTCTGAGTATCATTCAACGAGTTCAACAGTAAAAAATTCTAAGAATGAAGCATATTAATTATTAGTTTTAGTTTCACTCCGCTCAGAACACGCTACTGAAATAAGAGACAAAAGGAATCTCACTTTCACGAGACCCGTTGAATGTATGGCATTTGGTTTTTATCGTCACATTAAAACGTTGTCTCTGAAGAGTTAAATGCAACACATTGAAACAGAGTACACGATCTAATCTCCAAGCTCACATTTATTTGCCAATGAAACGTGTCTTTCCCCGGGTTTAAAATAACTGATAACTAAGACAAACAAGCATGATGCATAAAACGTATCCCAATAAGCTACCACAGGTGTACTTCACTCCCCGAGTCGAATTCAGGTAACTCTCTCTTCGATCATGCTCAGAAATTTTTATCCTTTTCTAAAATAGTTCGTACTGCAATGGCCATTTCCACGAGGAAGCAATTTATTCTCGAGCTAGGTGTATTGGGCTGTGACTGGTCAGTCTTTCCTTGCACCTCGCAAAATATTTCTATACGACCAAGCGTCTCAAATACCCTCTATCAAAGAAACCCTGTTTGCTGTCTTTACTTTGAGCTGATGATGACCGCATCCAAAGGTCAGATGAGTTGAACACCAACCCCAGACAGATTATGATCTTCACACCTCGCACCGGTGTCTCACGGATCATGCTTAGGCTAATCAAAGATACTCCTTGTGAATCCCCAAGAATATTTCAATGTTTTGATCCTAAAGTTAAGTTTGTTTTTTAAGGTACACCGCATGGTCGGATGGGGTAATCTGTTTGCAATGGGCCTTTGCTGAAACCGGAGATGCAAAAGCTGGCGAACACATCAGAACGGACAAGGCAACGGACACTTGCGGTGACCGAAATGTTTCATATTGTTTCATCAGTCCATCGACAAGATTTTGAAATTCCGTGTGCATCACGTTTTTTGCCATGCCTTACAACCTGACTGTATGCACACTTACAGATGCGGTGCGGACATGCGTGTACATGCAAGTCCCCTGGAGATATGGAAATATGACTCATGCATCATGGTATTCCAGTTGTCAATCTAAGGTAAAGATATCAATGAAGCAAAACCCGAAAAATAAAACAGGATTATTCTCCAATCATTAGTTATTAAAAAATGAGTTCTTACCTTTGCCTTCCGGTGGTCAAACGAATCCCATTCAACATTATAAACGTCATCCGGTGCCGAAACACTGACGACTTTCAAGGACATTATAAGGTTAGCTGAGAATTTGATGTTGTAGGGACAAATTCCTCCGCTCACCAAACCATTTTCATAGCCCTCTTTACCCTTGTTATCTGAATATTACAGCGTGAAAAAACACTTTAAACTTAATTGATAAAACTCACAATCTGGTACGTATCGGGGTGTAAACGCCCCAGGAAGGGTGAAAATCGCACGGGAGTGTTGTTTTTTGTCGATGACCACATTTTCCACATCAAGATGTCCAATATATTTGAGAACAACGTACACTGTAGTTTCAATAGGAATATTTCCCAAACGAATTTGAAAAAGATCATCCTGATTTTCATTTTGCTCCGCCATGAACGTTGTATGTCCTTTAGCAAGTGCTTCGTCATATGTCGTTTGTGCCTATTAGACGTGTTATAGGCAAAATTACAGCACTGAATCAAAAAATAAGAACGGATAATTACAATGCAAGTTACACTTTGTGAATTTGTTTGGCTTTGGGCTCTAGAACTCAAACCCAGCTAGCACAGCGGTGAAATTTTTGCTCATGAATTCGCACTTAATCAGACACAATCATCATCATTGTACAGCGTAATACAGTGGAGCGAAGTTCACTGATCGCTGCCAAACTCACAATGCATACAAGATAAGTGAGAATGTGTAAGGAGGATACGGGTCGGGCCCATTTTTAGGGACGGGAAAAGAAAGCGAACCTCCACGGTCAACACAGAGTACACAGCCCAACTGTGCATACATTCTAGTTCAAGCACTCGGGACTGATAAGAAGTGACAGCATGATCGCCATTGCTGTCGGTTTGCAGCCATGACACTCAGTGTTTCCAACCATGCGGTTTTGGAGTATTTTGGACCCCAACCCGGAAGACGAGAGACACCTACTCTACCTAATCGCTCAGTGCATTTCTTCATGCTTCGTCTCCACGTCATGCGCTGGCCTCTACATGGCTTTCTCCAACCTGTAACAGCCGCTGCAAACAAGGCGAGCTGTGGTAGGCGACCGTCGGGTATACGCAAAACGTATCCTAACCAATGGGGCCTACTGAGCTGGATTCGATGAGATAGCGAGTTCTTGTTTTATGTATTCCCAATCACCGGACGACTTACTTCTAAGTTAGTAACCCGGTCACTCCATCCCCTGTGGGCCAGATTATGTAAGCATTGATTGTCGAACACTGCGATACAACAGATGTCTTCTACCCGCAAGTACAAGGTCTCACAACCGTTAAGTAGAACTGATCGTACAGTGGCGCAGTATACGCGACTTTTCAACTTCATTGAAACGTCATATCGCCGCCACGGGTGTTTTAGTCTTGCGTACGCTGCTCGAGCCTTGGAAATGCGGGCGGTTATCTCCTTCGATGCGCTACCATCGTTGATCACGCAGCTACCTAAGTGCGAGCAGTCAACTTCAGCTAACTCCTGACCGTCTAGTTTTAGAACGGAACTCGGCAACACCCAGTCTTGTAGCATCACTTTGCATTTTGAAGGTGCAAAGCACATGCCGAACGGAGCGACAGAACTTATTGATCTGTCAAGTGCTCTTTGTGCATCTTCCATACATTCGAACAAGCAAACGATGTCGTCAGCGTATTCCAAATCGCACAGCTTTTCTCCAGCTGCCCATTCAATACCTACATTTTGGAGACCACTTAGTATGTTCTCCAGTATTTCGTCTATGACGAAATTGAACAGGAATGGCGAAAGAGGACACCCTTGATGAACACCGCTGTTAGTTAAGAATGACCTACTCAGCTCGCCGTAGACCCTAAGAGGTATGTGAGTAGAGTGAACTCAGTCTGTTCACATACTTCTGCGGCATTCCTTTGCGAAGGAGTGAACGCATAAGGGATTCACGATCAACTGAGTCGAAGGTTCCTTTTAGGTCAAGGAACACGACAACCGTTGGTCGACGGTGCGTATGACGTAGCTCGAGGACTTGACGCAGAAGGAAGATTTGATCAAAACAACCGCGACTTAGTCGAAATCCTGCTTGTTCTTCGCGGATGCTTGTCTCCCTAAACGATGTAAGACGTTGAAGNATAATGGAAGCTAGTAACTTGGTGACGATTGGGATCAAACTTATTCCACGGTGTTTTGCGCAGTTATTGCGAGATTCATTCTTAAAAGTCGGAACGATCAGTGATTCGCTCCAAGATGATAAAATACGCTCGTGTAACCAGATGTTACGCATTACATCAGAACTGGAGTCTACAAGGTCATCGCCGCCCAACTTGAAAAGAGTGCGAGGAAGCCCGTCTGGTCCTACTGCTTTTCCTTTCTTCAGGGCTTGGATGCAAGAACGAACTTCTGCTGCAGTAGGAGGTTTAGATGACACTCCCCACGGAGCCTCAGATACATCAGAGGGGATAGCCTGGTTAGCGCCTGGCCAGCTGAACTGTTCGTTGAAGTACTCCGCCCACCGGTCAAACCGTTGTTTCCTATTGTGAATAGCTTGCCCACTTTTGTCGCAGATTGTTTCGCTAACTGTGGTTCGCCAACCTCCCGTGTTGCGTATCAGTTGGAACAGTCTGACTATTCCCTGATGCAGCTGCTACTTTCATTTCACTAGCTATCGTTGCCCACCAGTTCTCACGGTCTTTCTTGAGGCTCCTCATGAGTTGACGTTGTAGACGCCATCTGACCCTGCTTTGGTTGGGAGTTGCCGTTTTTTTCATCAGTGCTACTGACTCTTCACATACCCAATGCCTCGAGCGGGCTACTGCTTCAGATCCACAAGCAGCGTTCGCTGCGGAGTGCACTGATCGGCTAATCTGATCCCATTGTTCATTTACACTACCACCCCGCAGTGTGTTTAGCTCTTACCGTAGTTCTGATTCAAAACGGGCACGAACGACTGGGTCAGTTTCAGTTTAAACAACCATTAAGCATGCATTTCGCTGGGTCAGATAAGTGATGATCTGCCAATCAAGTTTGGTGGGATTTTCTGTGAGTTAGAGAGTAAACTGCATCAAAACTAATGCATGATCAGATTCAACGCTGGTGGTCCTGTAGTTTGGTACTGAGCTTGTGGTTTATCTGAGTTAGCGTGCAAGTTGAATTTGAGCGTCACGTCGCAGTCCGTTGAGAGCTGTGTCGGAGATTGGTGCTGGATAGGAATAGATGATGATCTGTGCAGAACTGAAGAAGTCGATTGCCATTGTCTGTTTGCTGGCAGGGCAGAGCACAATGACCGCCTAGGCAAGCTTCCGATGCGATCACTTTTCCAAATGGAGCGTTAAAATCACCTGAGAGAACAACTATATCGGAGCTTCGGTTCAACCGAATGAGTTCGGTGAGTTTATCATAAAACTCGTCCTTTTGTGCGTCAGAACTGCAGTTGGTCGGTGCATACACTGAAATGATGAACAAACCTTTTGGTGTTGCTTCCCCTAGGGACGCTGACAGACCCTTGAAGCCGCATCGCACATAAGCGGCTGTTGACGGGGATCCAATCGAGTAGCGCGGCTTCGACTGTATTATTCAGTACAATGCCCACACCACGCTGGCCTACTGAACGGCCTTCATCACCTGACGTAAGGAAGAAGAACCTCAAAGACAACCCCTTAAACCACTTAAGTGGTTTATAGTACTAGGATCCTGTATTCGAGTCTCCGACACGCAACAGACATCCATTCCCCAAAAGTTCATTGTACGCACCAGACACGCTTTTTGACCTACCTGCATCAGAGTCCTTACGTTGAAGGCCCCCAGATTCAGTGGCTGACGATGCTTTAGAGTCTGCAATCTATTTTGTGGTAAACTACTTACCGGGCTACGTGGCAACGAACTTTGGCTAGTGAAGAACAAGTTGTCTAAGGGAATGTTACGGGTTAGAAGAAGGGGTGAAGGAAGAGGGTTGGATACGGAATATAAAAAGTTAAACAAATGTGGGGATATCTGAGCAGTAGCCCAATTATCACTACCCACTCCGCTCGATGCAGTAAGGAATTATTTTTTTGGTTGTGTATGCATTTCAGTTTGATGGACGGGTACTGCCAGGGTGTCTAGCCACTAAGCAGGAAAAAAATTAGGGCTCTCGTCCAAAGCCTTTAGTTCTGACAAGAACCTGACCGCAAGGCAGCGGGTAGAGCGAAGTAGAGGCTCATTTACCTGGATAAATTACTCCTCCACCATTTTACCGACTGAGACGCTAACTCGAGTCGAACCCCCAACCTGGAGGACCAGGAGACTGGACTTCGTCTGACCTCTACCCATTACCCTTCCAGGCATGATTAGATCTGCGACTTGACAAAAGCCATCCCGTATAGGTCGTTGGGTCAGAGAGGTGCACAAGCAATCATACCACGACAATCAATCAGGCAAACAGATACTGTCGCACTTCGAAGGGTTTACGGATTTAGAAATTCTTACAAATTAAACTGTTCCCGTGAAGTATATACCAAAAACGGATCCATCGCCCTGAGTATCATTTCCCGCAGGAAAGCTTTCAGAAACCAATTTCAGAAATGTGGTTTACTGGAAAGGATATTATCGAGCATATTAACACAATTGCATTATTGTGCGTACCTATTAATCGATGCATTAGGTGGACTGTACACACAATAGTTTCGGGTTGGTAAAATTTTAATTTATTAAGTCCGATTTTTTAACCATGGTAGAATCGTGAAAAAATGCCAAATTCACGGTCTGAGATCACCGGAATCGCACGCCTTGACAATAAAAGGAAAATTCTTTCGCTCGTAAATGGCTTCCGCAATCGCATTCCGTCACAGGCTACGCATAATGCATCGTAGGAATTCAATTAGTTACCAATCCCTTATTTCTGTCTACCTGCTGACTCAGCGATAGTTTCAAGCTAGTTTTCTCATACGGGTCAGCTGTTTTTGGCAGTCATCCCGTGTAACCCAATAATGTGACTCAAGAAAACAATTTAACACGCCACGATAAAGTGCGCAAAAAGTTGCACCAAATTATTCAAAATACCCACAGCAGGTATACACCTACTATAATGTACCACGTATAGCATGAAAATACCATTGTTTTTGCCGAGATACAGGGAGCACCTATCCCTAGTAAAGAAATAAGAGAATTAATCAAATTATCTTTCTGTCTGCTTATTAAACATGGAAACGATAAAATATTTCAAATATAAAACTAACCTCTTGGCGTGGTCGACACTGTGCTATTAATCTTTCATCACCAATTCGGGCCTCAAAGGAATAGACAGCAACGTTATTCAACGGAAAAACAAATTTGGCATCGACCGGATGATCAGATTCATTTTTATATATGCATGTTGTACAAACATTGGCGGTCAGATTTGTGATAGAGCAAGAAACGGACACCCTAGTTAACGGAACTTCGTCATTTT